CGGAATAAGTGTAACAGAGAAATATTATACAGGATGCAACAAAGACCCTAAACAACCCTACATTTTAACCCATATCTGGAGAGGAATATAAGTGATTCTAACTTTTTCATATGGTATTTTTAGGAAAGCGAAGGCAACGAGCCCTGGCGAGGTATTGACTTCGGTAGTTCCGTCATATATTCTATACCGAAACCCACTACCGCTAGACAATTTTAAATATCTGCGAAGCTTTGTAACAGAGAAGGAAAATTTTGTCTTCGAAATTCATACGCGTATTGCAATAGCGAAAGATGTTTTCGAAATGTTAACCAAAATAAGAAGAATTCTTAAAATTCGTGAACAAAGGAAAAGCGTACTGAACTGCTATATAATCCTCACCCGAAATGAAAAACGTTCTTTAACTTTATAAGATCTAGATCAGGCTGAAATTAGAGTTCGGCTGCCATATTTGAGCCGATGCTCAGATGTTACATTCCAGTCTTGATAGAGTTCAAATGCCTCTCCGTGTTCTTGCTAGAAGAAATATATTTTCCACACTTCAACCTCTCTCTCACGGGTGGGATGTGGCGAATCTCTCACTGCTGAGACTCTCCATGCCACTTACATTGTAGCATACCACCCGCATTTCTTCAGTCCTCCATCGACGAGAAGTAAGTTTCAACTTACAGCATTTTTCATGCGAATCACTTCCCTATGAAACAGACTCCCATGTGTATGATTCCTCGATCACTACAATCTTAACCTGTTCAAGTATAGATTCAAACGTTATCTTCCCTTCGTAACTATAGAAAGTATCCTAACTCTCTGCCTTGTAATGGGTTAAATGTGACTTTAAAGTTTGGCTAGCGATAGAGTTTTTAGAAATTGACGGAAATACTATATATACATTTCTCGGGATTGACTGACATATTTTGTGCAAAATTTAATTGTTCATATAGAACGTTGTAGAGGAAACATCCCACAGTATATAACACAAAAAACGTGAAAACTGCTGTGAGAATAGTTTCAGTCCTCTTATATGGAGAATTTACCCATATAAATATAAACAAGATGAAAACATACTAAAAAATTTAGTAAATTCTAATATATCAACTACAGATCCTAGCAAAAAAATTAAATTAATCATATACTACACTAAATCTAGTATATCCAACTTAATACTTCGCAATGATTCTTCTCCCTGGTTATGATTTGCAAAAAAACCAACATGGTTTATAAATTCAAGTGCCCTTTGGGAGAGTGTATCTCCAACGAATTAAATAATATTTATGTTGGTCACACCACAAACTCGCTTTCACGACGCTTGACACTACATTTTAATGACAACTCTAACATTTTTAGGCATTTAAAACAACATGCCTGCCCGCACACACAATTCCGTAAAATACTTGTCAAAAACACAACTATACTTCGACATGAAAACAATAGACAAAAACTAAAAATACTTGAAGCATTATACATCAAACAGTTAAAACCCAACCTAAACAAAATCAATTATGGCATCTCCACAAATATTCTTAAATGTATATAATTGGTAACAGAAGCCATTGGTTTATACCAACGGCTTTCCTTACTTCATTCTACAATTCACTCTCGTGTAGTCATGTGTGACGTCCTGAGATGCTGTGCGATTTTCGCTTCTAGCGTCTTATATGCGCGTGTTTATCGTTGCTTAGTGATTAACTATGTAAACAATGACAGACTATCATCACTGTCGTGTCCGTATATTGTTTAATATGTTTGTGATTTACATCTTTGATAATGGCTTAAATAAGCCGAAAGCTTAGATTATATTAAAAAAATATGGATCAATATTGTGAATTTCTTTCTTCGTTTAATGATAATGTTATCAAACTTATCAGATGTTACGAACAAATTTTACATAAAATAAATAGACAACACTTGTCTATATTATTTAATGAAACGTGTATATATATATATATATATATATATATATATATATATATATATATATATATATATAGTAGCGGCCATAATATAAGACACGGAAACAACGGAAAGACATAAATATGTATAGTATTAGTATGATTTTGCTAGAAATTAATTCGATCATGTGGTCGACGATGCAGAGAAGTCATTGAAAATAAGGGAATATTTACCAAATATTAAATTTTGTTGATATTTTGTTCACAATCAAGTATTAACAAGATCGTTCCTTAACTTTTGTCCAATAGCATATTTCTTTTGTTCCATTTAATCTTTATTTTAAAAAAAAATATATACATTTTTGTAACTTTGTATAATATTTATACATTACACCTAATCTTTATTCGGTACAAATTTCATTGCTAATCATGCATTACTTTTTTTAATACATATATTTATGTCTTTGTTGTTTCCGTTCCTTATATTATGGGGCCGCTACTATATATATATATATATATATATATATATATATATATATATATATATATATATTTATATTTATATATATATATATATATATATATATATATATATATATATATATATAACTGGGAAACAACAGAAATGTGAAAATTGTCAGATGTTGTTCTTGTAGGCAGCTGGACTACAGTGGTCGACATTTTACCCAAATGTTGTTGGGCAATGGAAATATGTTTTTGGGCTATTCTTTTCAGGCTGAATCTGAAATAAAAAGTCCATTACATCATATTTTCATAGTACAGATAATTTCTAATTGTTGTGTATGATACACCTAATTTACATAAGTGGAGTACCGACCATATAAATATGGGTTGGTACCGGAAGACGACGGAAGATTAAGAGATCGAATCCAGAGACTCTGCCCGACTGCGACTTAGTCAACCCATTCTGCAGGAACAGTCTTCCCAAGAATATACCAAAACTACCTGTAAATATTGTGTACCTTTTTCATTGTTTCAATACATTTTGTTACGTACATTTTGTGTTGTATTATTATTATTCCATGCTTATTCAAGCTTCAACACTAATTTTTCTTAAAATAGGCCAAAATATCAATTTAATAATGATATGCCAGGCCCAAGTAGAAGCAACCTTAAGCGTTTTCCCTTTAAAATAACATATCATAAAAGAAGTATACCAATAAGTTAAAGAATGCTTTTTCAGCATTTTCAATTTCATAAAAAAAAAAAACAGAAAAATCTCACAATGAAATAATAAGATGTTATGAAGGTTTCAGGCTTAATGTGAAAACTACCAATAAAAACTAAAATCGCTTTTCTTTATTGAATTCTAAAAGGCTTCTATGAAAAGTAGAAAAGAAACACGAATCACAACGTTTTAACAATCTAACAGCATTAAGGGCACATGAACATTTTTCAGTGAGATATCTCTCATGATATCAAACATTTTCACGTGAACTTATCTGAACCGAAATAGAATAAAATTCATTTTGAAAGTTATTTGGGCAATTTTTCATAAATTCAAATCATTTAAACATGAAACGAAATGATTTAACTATGTCACTCGCATATACAAGACATGGCATATCCCTGTGAATTAGGCATTTTGTCCTATTTTTAGTGAAATAGAAATCATCTATGCTGAGAAAATGGAATGGGGAAAAATGTATTCGATATTCAGATTCAGCGCGAAAAATAACCCAGAAAAATGGGTCCCTTTGCCAAACAACATTTGTGTCGAAAGAAAATTTTAATGTTAACCGACGGCATATAATGTTAAATCTGCATATTTATTATTATCTTTTGGGCATGTCTGATTAAATATATATATATATATATATATATATATATATATTAACTGAATATTGGTCATTTCAGCTCATGTGACAGCGTTTCCCCTTACGAGGAGTGGTTAATTAGTTTGAATCTTTTAAAACCTTTATTCTACAATCTACATTCAGCATTATCACTGGATAAGACACGAGAGGTGTTGAAACAAAATGGCTATTGTTGTATTGATTTTATAACATATTTACGTTATAATTTTAAATAAAAATAAATATATATATATATATATATATATATATATATATATATATATATATATATTACTTCTATCGAGTGTGATTGTTGTATATGTATATAGGATGAATAACTTCTTAGAATTAAATATACGCAGGGATGTCTTCTAAATATTACATCATCATTTTCAATAATATTCCTTTCTAAACCCAGTGAAAATGAAATACATTGGCCATGTACTATTAGTACATTTTCACGATTAGATTACATAACAATTGGTTACTATAGGTCTACACTGTTCGGACTAACCCCGAAAAATATATCCTTCGATGACTAGTTTCATACTGAGGAAGGCCAAAGTAATGACCGCTTGAAAAGTCTTGACATCAGTTAATTGAATTAGGTCGATAGCCGGGGCAAATTGTTGGTTAAAGATACAAATGTTTTTCCTTCGACCAGTGACGTAAAATGTCTCATCATGAGTAAAAGTAATAATTTACGACTGGTTAACAGCTTCTGTTTTGCTCACAGCTTGCAACTGCGCCGTATATCAGCGCTTCCATTGAGCAACAAAGGCAGAGAACTGTCCAACACTAATCTGATTATTACGTTCTTATTTCAAGAACTCTAAAGGCACAATACCATATGCCACAACGGACCGGCTGAGGAATTCCAAATCTTTCAATTTAAATTCTTCAAATTGAAGTTGGCGGGGGATGTATGGAGACGGGTTTATGGTTTGCGGAGATGTGAGATTGAGTGATACTGGTGGGACTGGGTGGTTTTCCTTGATGGGTTCGTGTAAAGAGTGGATGTGTGTAGGGAGGGCAAGGATTCTATTAGTTTGTGGTGGGGAGAGGCGACGTCTTGGACAATGCATTTGCCAATTCGCAAGATTTGGAAATCTCGCTTCCTAATCGAATTTTGATGATAGGAATTGAATCAGGTTTCAGAAAATTGAAGAAGAAGAAGAAGTGAAAAAGAGGAAGAAAAAGGGGAGGAGGAAGCGGGAAAATGAGAGTAATATTGAGAAGTAGTTAAGATTATGTAATAGATGAAGAATGGTAAGATGAAAATGGGGAAATGTGCGATTCATGGATGATGAGAGGGGAAAAAGGGAAAGTGAAGCAAATTAGAAAGAGTGAAAGATTTGTATGGAGAAGGATTGCAGAAGGAAAAATAAGAAAGAGATGGTAAGAGGCGGCGGCGGGGGTGGGGTAAGAAAACAACGAAACGAACGTGTGAAAATAGAAAGACGAAGTCGGAGGAGGACGTGGTGGTTGAGGTATGTAAACACAGAAAGAGATTGATAAGTAAAAGAAGAAAAGATATAAAGTGAACTGAAAGAGACCGTTTAATAATAATTAAATAATAAAAAGTAGATGGCATAGTAGTAGTAGTAGTATTCATAGTAGTATCCGTAGTAGTAGTAGTAGTAGTAGTAGTAGCAGTAGTAGTAGTAGTAGTAGTTGTAACAGAAGTAGAAGAAGATGGTGGGAAATGGGGAGGTTGATTAGGAAAGGAGTAAGGGATGGATGAGTAGAGGATTTTAAAACAATAATAAAAATAATACATATGGGTAAATTATTAGAAATGGAATGAACTTCAAAGATTTAGAAAACAGACAAAACAATGAAAAGAATGATAAAAGCTGAAGAAGAAGAAGATGAAGTAGAAGAAGATGAAGAAAAAGATGAAGAAGAAGAAGATGAAGAAAAAGAAGAAGAAGAAGGAGAAGAAGAAGATGAAGAAAAAGAAGAAGAAGATGAAGAAAAAGAAGAAGAAGAAGAAGATGAAGAAAAAGAAGAAGAAGAAGAAGAAGAAGATAAAGAAGAAGAAGATGAAGAAAAATAAGAAGAAGAAGAAGAAGAAGATGAAGAAAAATAATAAGAAGAAGAAGATGAAGAAGAAGAAGAAGAAGATGAAGAAAAATAAGAAGAAGAAGAAGAAGAAGAGGAAGAAGATGAAGAAGAAGAAGAAGATGAAGAAGAAGAAGAAGAAGATGAAGAAAAATAAGAAGAAGAAGAAGAAGAAGAAGAAGATGAAGATGATGAAGAAGAAGAAGAAGAAGAAGAAGAAGAAGATGAAGAAAAGGAGGAAAGAAGGCGAAGCAGAAACGAAGAAGCAAAGGAGAAGAAAAGAAGAAGAAAAGCGTAAGAAGAAGAAAAGAAGACGAAGAAGAAATGGATATCAAAGAGGAAGAAGAATAGAAGAAGAAAAAAAAGAAAAGACGGAGAAAAAAAAAGAAGTAGAAGAAAAGGGAAACAAGAAGAGAAGAAAAGAAGAAGACGTCGACAACGATAAAGGCTACGACGAAGATGCTACTTCTGATGATGATAATGATGGTGATGAAGGCGGTTGTGATAATGATGTTGATGATAAAACCACAATGATGGTGATAATGAAGATTACGCTGAAGGCGATGATGATGGTGATGATGATGACGTTGACTTTATTCGTGATAAGAGAATAGCAATAATAACAAGAGGAATGGTAAAATTAAGTAGGAAGGGGAGAATACAAACAGGTCAACGTGACTATATTAAAAGAAAGTAGATGGCAACAGATGAAGTTTAGTAAGTCAGACGATTCTTATTCTTCTTTGAGTGCCTTGTCCCCTCAGGACGCGGGCGATCATGGCAGTGGACAACACCCTGTCCTTTGGAGAATTTAATAAAGTTTGTCTTTTTTGTTATTTCTCTTAAACCCTGTTCAGCCATACATTTATTCAAGCTCATTAAGTAAGATATGCGTTGTTTTCTTCTGTCAAAATTGTCCTCAATTTATCCTGTGAGTATCAGAATTTCCAAGCCCTTCTTCCTCATTATGTGCCAGAGAAACTTCAACTGTCTCTTCCTGATGCTAAGTTTAATTTTCCTTTTTGTTTTCATTTCCTCCAAAAACTCGTCTTTGTTCATATGTTCGGTCCATGGTATCCTCAGCATCCTTCTGTAAAAAATTCAACTGTCTCTTCCTGATGTTAAGTATAATTTTCCTTTTTGTTTCCATTTTCACTAAAACCAAGTCGTTGCTCATATGTTCGGTTCATGGTATCCTCAGCATCCTTCTGTAGAAAATTCAACTGTCTCTTCCTGATGTTAATTATAATTTTCCTTTTTGTATTCATTTTCTCTAAAACCTCGTCGTTGCTCATATGTTCGGTCCATGGTATCCTCAGCATCCTTCTGTAGAAAATTCAACTGTCTCTTCCTGATGTTAATTATAATTTTCCTTTTTGTTTTCATTTTCTAAAACCTCGTCGTTGCTCATATGTTCGGTTCATGGTATCCTCAGCATCCTTCTGTAGAAAAATTCAAACTGTCTCTTCCTGATGTTAATTATAATATTCCTTTTTGTATTCATTTTCTCTAAAACCTCGTCGTTGCTCATATGTTCGGTTCATGGTATCCTCAGCATCCTTCTGTAGAAAATTCAAACTGTCTCTTCCTGATGTTAATTATAATTTTCCTTTTTGTTTTCATTTTCTCTAAAACCTCGTCGTTGCTCATATGTTCGGTTCATGGTATCCTCAGCATCCTTCTGTAGAAAATTCAAACTGTCTCTTCCTGATGTTAATTATAATATTCCTTTTTGTATTCATTTTCTCTAAAACCTCGTCGTTGCTCATATGTTCGGTTCATGGTATCCTCAGCATCCTTCTGTAGAAAATTCAAACTGTCTCTTCCTGATGTTAATTATAATTTTCCTTTTTGTTTTCATTTTCTCTAAAACCTCGTCGTTGCTCATATGTTCGGTTCATGGTATCCTCAGCATCCTTCTGTAGAAAATTCAAACTGTCTCTTCCTGATGTTAATTATAATATTCCTTTTTGTATTCATTTTCTCTAAAACCTCGTCGTTGCTCATATGTTCGGTTCATGGTATCCTCAGCATCCTTCTGTAGAAAATTCAAACTGTCTCTTCCTGATGTTAATTATAATTTTCCTTTTTGTTTTCATTTTCTCTAAAACCTCGTCGTTGCTCATATGTTCGCTCCATGGTATCTTAAGATTTCTTCTGCAGAACCACATTACTGTGCTTCAAGTGTCTTCTTCATGTTTGAGGAGATTGCCCAGCATTTACTGCCACATAGAGGTATAGACCTCTAGAAATACTTCAATACACTTTTCTTCGTTTCTAACGATTTTTTTTCAGTTTCCTGATACTCTGCTTAGCTTTTGTAATGCAAATTGACTATCTCAATGCGTTTTCTTGTTTAACGGGCGCACGTCCTGTCATTTTTTAGAACACTTCCCAGATATTCATTTTTCTCATATTTGATTTTGGTATCTCCATTTAGTAATTTGCATTTTGGGTTCAACCTTTGGCGAACAACTATGCGTTCTGTCTTCCTGCAGTTAATATTTATTCTTTTCTTTTCACTTTCCCTCAATACCTTATGTAGAAGTTGTTATTTGTTTGTAGTTTTCTGTATTTGCCTACTATCAACACTGTGTCATCTGCATATCTTATATTGCTAAGATTTTGACCGCCAATAAGAAATTATGGTACGTTTGCTAATTCTATCAGAATTGCCACCCTGTATAGATTGAAAAAGTTCGGTGGAACCCATCCTTGTCATACACACATTTCTATTGTCGTATATCTGCTAAACTCATTTTCTATCCGTATGCAGAGGTTATGCTGGCAGTGTAGGTTCTTGATTATTCGCAAGTGTTTCCTAAATATGTCAGTATTGATGAGCAGGTCTAACATATCTTGTGAAGTACTTTATCGAGCGATTTTGCGTAAAAAGCTTTGCAAAGAGACACTTGTAAATATTCAAAGATGCAGGTACAGTAAGTTATATAAATAGGTAATGTAAAGCAGAAAAACAAACGAGTAAAGTCATTAAAGATAAGGAAAACGAAATGAATGAAACGCCAAATTAAACAGCAGTAAAAAAATAAATGAAAATGAAAAAGACGCAAGTGCTATAGCTAAATCCACAAATGTAAAAAGATAAGCTAAGATAAAAAGTGCAATGTTCAGTTCACTGTGACCTGCTTTCTCAAAAGAATCAATCTGACTTATTTATAAGTCTACCATTCATCCTCGTTTTGAATATTGCTGCCATATCTTGTCTGGCGCTCCTGCAATATATATATATAGATTCTTGATAAAAAACTAAAGAAGAATCTATCTTACATATTTATAAGTCTACCATTCATCCTTGCTTTGAATATTGCTGCCATATCTTGTCTGGTGTTGTGAAATATATGTAGAGATTCTTGATAAATACCCAAGAAGATTCTATCTTACATATTTATTAGTCTACCATTCATCCTTGCTTTGAGTATTGCTGCCATATCTTTTCTGGTGCTCCTGAAATATATGTAGAGAGTCTTGATAAAAACCAAAGAAGAATCTGCAGTGTTATTGGTCCTGACCTGGCATCTTGGCTTCAACGCTTTTCCCACTGTCCTAACGTGACCTCACAAAGTCTTTACTATAAATACTTTCATGTTAATTTTTCTAATAACATTTCCCCTATGGCACCTAAATATTTTTGAATTTAATCGCACTACTACCTTGACAGCAATACCTCATCATTTTACAGATTGTTATGGGAACTTACCCATAATAATAATGGACTATTCCTGACATTATAAGTACTGCGCCTCTCAAGAGGTATGAGGAGATTGTAAGACAAGGAGAGATAATTGAGAGTATATTGTAAGGACATTGGAATAGTGATACTTGTCGAGACAACATAGTTCACTCTAACCAAGTCTGATAGTCATTACTAATACTTCTACTTCTTTGTATTATATTTCTGTTGTAATATATCTTTGTATTCCATACCTGTGTTCGTGTTATTCTTTCATTGGTTCTAACCTTGGACCATCACCGTGGTACAAGGAACTTGAACCATAACACAGATGAAGTGACTAAATGTAACCGCAAGTTCTATGCTAGCAATTTCTTCTATCACGCTTATCGTTTGTGAAACTATCTTTCGTAATTCCTCATGTATAATACGCATTTTTTCTAAAAAATAATACGCAAAAGTAGGCGTGTATATTAAATTTAAAAAAATGCTGAAAAAAAAAAGAATTAACATAAAATCAATTAGAATAATATTATTCTATGTTTAAAACCATTTTTTTTTAATAAGAGTGGGAAACGCTAGCCGTAATGAAATTGGAGGGATACAGTTTATAGAGTTTAATTACCAAACAAGGTTTGAGTATTATGCATAAGCAGAAGCATTTTCCCACTCTTACAGCACTTTTTTGGTGTGCGCATGATGGATGAATGTGTATTATACATGGAGAATTACGGTAAATACAATGTCAATCGTTATCTTCTGTTTTCTTAATTATAACTATTGTCTTGTCCTCTCTCCTACATAGTTTTTTCTCATATTCTCTAACACTCAGTAACTTCTTGCGTCCAAGCGGCTTTATTGCCTTTCTTGAGATGAAATGATTTTAAAGGGTAGAAGGAGGAAGAAAGTGTCCATATAAGTGAAAAAGATCCACAAAAAAGAGTCAAAACGAATAGATTAGATGTGAGGAGATATGTAGAAAGATTCATATTTGTGTGTGTCTGTGAGATAGAGAGAGAGAGAGA